AAGCTCACCAAGGTTTCGGTAAAATTAAGCTAAAAAATGTTCCTTACAGGTATTTTTTTTCTCTATATAAAGATTTTTTTAACCCATTAATTCAGTTTTTTAGTTTTTAGCTCACACTAATATATAGACATTTAATTTTGTGAGTAAAGGAGACATGTGTACGAAAGTGTGTCAAATACAAACATAGAATGCACAAAAAATAGATATATCATGTATTCAAGTATATGTAAATATATGATAGTAACTATTTTTAAGCTTTTTACGCTTAGATAAATTGTAATTTTTTTGCCAGCAAAACGTTTAGTGATTAATGTTTTTACGATATGCTTAGCTAAATACCTTCTTGTAAGTGGCCACTGAAAATGTGATAAATGAATTATCGGTAGATATTTATGGTGAGCTTTACTTATGTCAAAAACTGAAAAATATACTTTGGCACTTCTTTTGTTTGCTTTTTGTTTTTTTAGTGTCAAAAGTATTAATCGTTATTCAAAATGTAAGGATATAAGCTGAATTTTTGTACAAGTTTGTTATCCAAAGTTTACTTTCAGTGAGTGGGAGTATAATAAATGATTAGCAAAATGGAAACAAAATCTATTTCTATTTTTTAAAAGAGAAATCTAAAATCCACTTAAATATGCACATAGGGGCGTCATCTTTTATGTTGAGATATAAACATTTACTAACCGTTTAAGTTGGTTGGACATGTTTTGGAAATCTAAATTCAGTAGAATTGTAACCATGCATCGCTTTCACTTATTAACTCTTTCAACCGGCATTAGCATCATGTTGGCTCATTCTCACTGCCCCGAATACATGAAAAGGTCCTATCGACTACTGCTTTCAGTCAGAGCGCACAGTGATAAAACAAGTCAGTTTCTGCAAACAAAAAAAAAACTCAGGATATCAAAAGAAAGTGACCACGAAATTTACAGACCTAAAGTTCTGGATACAATAGCTCAAAGCGAACAGCCTTGCCGAGTTCGTTACCACACTGTTCGGCGCCGCGAAAAAGTAATGGAAAGCGTTATCACGCACAATAAATCTATCATAAATAGTCTCTCTAACTTAACGGCTGCCGAAATTGTATTTCCCTATTAACTTTATAGCCAAGAAAAATTAGATTATTTAAGATTTAATCAAGCGTTTACGCGATATTCATCGTCAAATATCAATACTGTCATAGGAAAACACAAAAAACCAAAAAAGGAAATAACAGAGAAAATAATAGATAATTTTTGGTTGAGCAGTAAATTTCCTACAAAACTATGATCTTTGCAATTTAAAATGATGTTTTTTCATTGAGTTATAAAATTCAAAAGAAACAAGTAGGAAAGGGCTAAGTTCGGATGTAACCGAACATTTTATACTCTCGCAAATTCAAAACCCGTTTTAGATTTCTTTGTGGGTCTTACCGTCTTGTTCTATGTTGACCGATATTTTCGGTAAAAAGTCAACTATAGGCACTGGGGTCCACATATTCAGTACCTAGGGCAGCAGGCTTGAACAGTTTAGGTTCAATTTAGATAATTTTTGGTCACAAGGTGGCATACTTTAAACGTATTATTCACGCAAACTTTTACGCCGATATAATCATTTTTGCTTGATTTGCATACTGGAAAGTTAAAAAATCAGATGGACTTTAAAAGTGTGTTATATGGGAAATAGGCGTTTTTGTAATCCGATTTCACCCATTTCCGTATTATAACATAGAAATATGAAAAGAAAGTTATGTACCGAATTTGGTTGAAATCGGTTAAGCAGATCCCAAGATATGGGTTTTCACCTAAAAGTGGGGGGTGCCATGCCCACTATCTAATTTTATATACCTATACTATAATGTACTATACCATCCCAGAGATAAAATTTAATGTCTCTGGCGTGTTTAGTCCTTGATTTATCGCGCTTTTAGTAGTTTTTAACAGTACCGTTGTATGGGGAGTGGGCGGAGTCGCCACCCGATTTCAACTATTTTTACATTGTAGGTAGAGGTTCTAAAAATATTTGCTTCCAGTGAATTTTGTTATTATATTGTAGCATTAGCGGTTTAGGAGATATGCACATTAAACCTATTAGAGGCAAGACCACGCCCACTTAAAAAAACATATAAACTTCAGATGCCCTCCCTAATGTGATCCTGTATACCAAATAAGAGTATTGTATCTTGTCGTGGAGCTTAGTTATGACAATTTATTTGTTTTTGATTAATGACGTTTTGTGGGCGTGGCAGCGGTCTGATTATCTGCATCCAACCGTGTTACGGTACCAAGAAACACGTGTACCAAGTTTCATAAAGATATCTCAATTTTTACTCAAGTTACAGCTTGCACAGACGGACGGACAGACAGTCACCCGAATTTATATATACATAACCCTATATCTAACTCGATTAGTGATACAAACAACCGTTAGGTGAACAAAACTATTATACTCTGTAGCAACAAGTTGCGAGTGTATAAAAACAAACATGGCTTACAATAGTCAAACTTCAGCCGTTAATATCTTTTAAGCGGTTAGGTTTACGAAAAAACAGTATTTGTAAGTATTTTCAACCTAGTGTAATAGGCTTCCGAAGCATCGGTGTGGAAAATTTCTCCGAAACGGCTAGATCGATCGACTTTAAATTTTTATACGACCTTCTTAATTATATCTTTCTGTACAGTATGTATCTATAGTAGTAAAAATTTTTCAAGGGAATCCAAAATTTTTCAAAATGAATTGCCGGTTATTATAGTGCATTAAGTTCTGTGCACAATTTGCTTATTTATAAATTAAATAAAATTACTCTTCAAAAAAAATGCACAAAAAAACTCATTTTACTCACATGCAATCCTTAAAATAAATGAGTTACTCAAATATCTTGAAAATTTTCATATATAAATCAATTTTCTTCCAACTGTTAGTTTGTTTAATTGATCTAAATTTCTCTAATTGCACGAACTGCTCAATGAAATCTCTATCGGTTACTTGAGTCTTCGGTTAATTGAAGCTAACAATTAGTGATTTTCGCAGCGCTATGTATCAAGGATTAAAGTATTAATATTGTGGCCAGAGTAAACATTTATAAATGTCGGTATCTATCACTTACAACGAGCATTTCCACACTCAGCACAGCGTGCTAACTGAAACCACGATATTTTCCCAAGCAAGCAAAAAAAAGAAAATAGAGACGAACAAGTTTTCAACAATAGTTTATTGCGCTGACAATGAACTACTTTCGCAGACTTGCTAACATTTTGTTTGTATTTTGTTATTCAGTACTATCCGCAAATATTTGTACATATTTTATTTAACTAGTGACTTTTTTCATAGTTTTTTTTGGTCCACTTTTTGCGATTTTAGTTTTCGCTGTCAGTTTAGTCCTCGAATTTATTTTCATCGTCGTCGCTGTCATTGTATGCACGTTGTGAACTTGAACTTTCAAAAACTAACGGTACGCGTAAAAAGTTCGAAAAATTTGGTGTGCAGATGATGCACACACGCAATATATGTATATAGTACATAAAACTACAGGAATATATAAACTTTAATATACGTCTACACATTTCTAACCATTTTTAGGCAAAATTTAATTTAATTAAAGACAGAAGTAGAAATTAGATTATCAAACCATGCTTTGAGTTAAAACTTAAACTCAAAAATATTAAAATATTCTCTAATGCTAAAATTTCAAGAAACGTAACATAATCTTATATATGGTAGTGTCCAAGAGTTTTGCTTTATGATAAAGATAAGTATTTTAAATTATGTTTTAAATACGATTTTGGGCAAGTGACCGCCATGGCCCAATTTTCGACCACTCTTTGCAGCAATTGGTTCCGTATGTCAGCAATAACGCGCCGAATATTCTCTTCCAAATCTTCAATCGTCTGGGTCTTATCTGCGTTGATAAGCATCTGCACATAACCCCATAAAAAATATTCGGTGTTAAATCGCACGATGTTGGAGGCCACGCCACAGATCCACGACGCTCATCAAAAGTTTCCTTCAATGAATTGATGGCACTATTGGAACCAATGACATTTATATCAACATCTTCGAATTCAGGCACGAAAAAGTCATTCATTGACTGTAAAATTATGACCGTCTCCACCCGTTATAATTAATATGCCCTAAATTATTTTTGTTTCAGTGTCTAATTGTGAATAATAGTCTGTCGGAGAGAAAATACATTGAAGAGTGATATACCAATCATCTCACAACTCACATCAAATCCAGTTTCTGATTTGATCACTGGTTTGTACCCCCCGCTTACAGATTAAGACGGAAAAATATCCCCAAAAATTATAAATATTGTCTTATTATGGAAGTGGCAGCCATAAAGGCAGCAGTAGAAGCACTGCTCCGTCGTGCTGCGTCTTTAAGAGAAGGGTCCATTCACTCCGACTGCAACCCTATACAGTCCGCTGATAGTGCGATCAAACCTAGTCAAGGAGGGTATAACCTCATTAGCAATATCATCAAGCTACCTCGATATTAGAAATGTTTGAGTCTCTGGTCACAGCGGAATCAGTGAGAACTGAAATTCCGATAAATCACAAGAAAGGATACTGTTAACCAAATAACAATAGGTTTAGAACGAGTGGTTTTCCTGTCCTATTCCACTCTGTCAATGTCAATTGTCTGAAACCTGCTTTGTTATCGACTGACTCGGACGAGTTCTTCTTATGGTAGACCTTATTATATTATTCGACGACCTTTAATCGGCTTTAAACAGCTTCTAGCTTCTCTACAGATATCAATTAAAATAGATAATAACCAAAGTCTTCAGGATGTCCATATGATGCTGCTGGATTTCTGATTAATCTGGTGACTGTTATTCTGGTCGATGAATCTTAAGACAGTTTATTAACAGACTTGATAATAAAAAGTTTTCCAAGCTATGGAATCAATCAAAGGGTGTAATCTTGGAATAAAAAAATGTTCTTAAAAACCTTCTTCTATTCGCTTACCGGTTAAAATGTCGTGCAACAAGTTCGTTAAAACATTTCAGAAAGATGAGAGAAATTATATTCAATTCTTAAAACTTTATTGCACAATAATTTTGAGAACAAATAAATTATTTAAATTTAAATCAACCAGCTTCTCAATAAGAGAAAATAAATATAATAATATTTATAAATTACAAACAAACCGTTAGCCTAAACTTTCTGAGTTTTCCGTGTCAGTGCGCAATTCTCATTTTCATACCATCCCGCCAAGCGTCAATTTTCGCTATGATAGGTTCATGCAGCGCATGCCGAGCATAGCGCGACCATACAAAATCTCCATGATTCCATGCCGCATAAGGCAAAAGATGCAGCTCTGCACACTGCAGATCTCTCCCGAGCTGACGCACATCTTCCGCTCCGCACATTTTATCAGTTTCACTATAATATATCGATATGCAATTTTTAATGGAGCTCACATTGTAACTGGGTGCCACCACTTGACCGTATTGGCGTAAATTACGATCAGCACTGCCATAGTCGAATTGCGTGAAACCGCCCGAGGCGTATAACTGCATATAGTGAAGCAGTTGCTTGCTAGAAGCGCCCACCGGTACACTCTTACAAATTTCCGTTAAGATATGCTAAAAGATATCAAATTTTAGAATAAATATATTAAAAATATAAATTTATGCCTTTACGCTCACCTCATAATCCTCATTCGCAGCCACCGGTCCACCGATCATACCAAATATTTTCTTAAAAATCGGTCTGAGCCAGGCGCCATCGGCACAAACCGCCTTACACATCCGTTTATGCAAATTCCAACGCGCAAATTGCAGTGTTTCGCCATAGCCCCACCAATCTAGGAAGTGTGACAAATAGTTTCGCAGCTTACCGATCCACGAAGCAGGCACCGGCACACTGAGATTCCGCATATAGACAGTGGGCGCAGTGAATTGCAATGATTTAAATTTTTCGGCATATTCGGGTCGTGTCATCAGCAGTACTAACGCAACCAAGCCACCCTGTGAATAACCTACATAGTGCAAAGACTTTTCATCGGTTTCATGAAGTATATAATCTACTATATTAGGCAGGTCATAGTAGCCCATTTCGTGCCAGGTGAAATTCCAAAAGTATTTTCTATCCACTATGGGATCTAAGTTACTGTGTTTGTGTCCATACTCATTGCCACGCTGATTGCTCAGCCAGACGTCGTAACCAGCATCGGCAAGTAAGTAAGGTAGGTCTTCTTTGGGGCCGCGCAGCACCCATACATCAGAAGAGAGCGTGAAACCATGTTGTAATAGTACGACTTCGTTTCTTTTGGCAGGTCCTGAGTGAGCTCTCACCATTGCTGGTATGCGATAGATGCTGAGTAAATAGCCATCGCTGGTTTTCACTGTGTGTTCTTGCAACGGATAGTTGTGTAAGGCTATATTTCGAGGCTGTGGAAGAAATTTAAAATAATATATTATTATTTACTTACTTTAATATTTAAAGAAGGAAGTTAGGTCCTGCTGTAATGTTTACTTCCAAAAATCAAAAAGATAATCTATGAATTTAGTAAAAACCAACTGAGATATTAATAGCAACTACCCGAGATTGGGAAACCTTGTGTCTTTGCCGCTCTATTTTAAGATTTAACATTATTTCAATTGCTATAAAGCTGTATCCTTTCCGATGCCCTTTTTTCATCTAAAAAGTCTGATTCTTGAAGTAGCAATAACTATAGCTAGACTACAGCTATAGATAGTAAATCTATCAGTATAAAAACGCAAACTACCTCCTCTGGATTGCTAAACTAGTGAAAATCAAGGTACTCTTAACTTAATTGTCCAAAAACTGGCACAGCCATCCCATAGTAAACTGCAAGTAAACATGGGAACTCTTAATCACTAAACAAATGCAGGTATCACTGGCAGTTTGAATTTTGATAAAGTCTGGAAGCTTGATAACAAGGTTCGATAGACCGCGCTAACAAGACCGAGCTTTGAACCATTCGTAAAGAAGCTAATTGCACCTCTTATTCGACGTTGTACATATTAGAAGCCATCAAGAGTTAGCCCGACAACGCAGTGATCAGAGTCCAAGTTTGTAATATCCAAACCTAAGAGCATCGAGGTACAAAACTTCATAGTTTTTCAATATAGATTTGCCAAAACCGAAGCGCTTGGCTGGTATATGTTCACTTAAAGATAGTCAATTCATGACGGCCTAAATGCATAAACCTGTGACTTCAGAAGAGTCCATAAGTAGAAAGTGGCATAAATGGTATATCATAGTATATATAATATATATCGTCATATCGTCATAATATATACCGTCAATATTATTCCACTTGAATGACAAACTGTTATCATAATTCTCTTATGATCTCGTCCATCCATTGAAGAAGAAGTTACATAAAAGTAGAGTTACAATCCTTTTTTTTACCCTTCGTTGTTACTTAACGCAGAACTGAAAGTGTCTACGAACCAGATTATCTCCATACTAAAGTGAGCCGCGCATACAAATAAATATACATACTTATTTTGTACAGCAGAAGAGCTAGGCTTATCAGACGCACCTAATTTACGTTTTACGCGTCACAGCTTGCAAGCGATGCAGAACAGCGGGATCTTCTGAAATACAAGGTGCGTTCCAAAGTAAACAGTAAAAAAGTAACAAAGTAAACTCTAGTGGCGCCATCTATATGTCGACTAGTGCGTTAGAATCTACTATCCTTTATCGGCTTCCAGTAAAAATTTCATGACATTTCATCTATTGGCGTTTGTTGCACGATAATGCGCCGTGTCATCGTTCGACGCTTGTGGCCGATTATTTGACCAAAAATCACATTTTAACAATCAACCACTCCCCGTATTCACCTGATGTGGCACCGTGCAAAGGAGATGCTCATATGTCGGAACCGTCGATATCGACCAACTGTTGAATATAGCTGTCATACGAACTAAGCGATCAAAATTAAGTTCTTACATGAAAAATGTATTTATTTGACTGACTTCGAAATTTAACATAGATATTATCCAAAGCTATAATCTCCAAACATGTTGTTGAGATCGAACCACTGTTGAAACTTTCGAAAAATAATCAGTTCTAAAATTATACCATTGGCTTAACACTGCCTACTTAGACATGAAGTCATATCTCTTAAACTATTTAACCCAATATATACATAATAAATTTCCACTAAACACGCACAAATTATAAGGTCCAGTAAAATAAATCGATCCGTTTCGGTAATTTTGATACCAAAGGTGCCCCACTCTCTGGAAAGCGATTAAAATAAAAATAACGGTAATTATCGAGTCCGACTTTCATGTAAGCTCTGTATCGATAACCTAAACATTAACCAAAAAATAATTAGAAGAATTTAAATAAAGCTTGATCTAGCACCAAGTAATTAATAACTCTTCCGATCTATGGCGAATGATTTTGTTGGTGAAAAATTCGCTTCAAGACAATCTTGTGAAAATTGACTGTCCATATCTTTTGCCAATAAAGACGAAAGTTTCTATGAGAATTTCATTATAAAATTACTTTTAGAGTAGCAACGAATTATCAGACAAAATTATAATACATAAATTATAGTTAATATTCACAGATATTATATTGAAGCAGATGAACTAACCAGATCAGACCTTACTAGTAGACTCCAATATAATATATGTGCCTCTGGGAACTTGTAGATATTTAATCGACAAAAGTGTAATAGATACAGCTGAATCTCGGTAGAAACAATCTCCGACATGTGCAATAAGCAGACAAACGTGGTATGAATAGAAAATGGGCCGCACATGCCGACAATTGAAATTCAAAAGTAGAATTGTAGAATAAGTAGAGGGAGAGGAAAAAACTATAGAACAGCGTTTATGCGAATGCAAGGCTTTGCACAGAAAAATAATCGCAACTATCAGTCAAGGGTTTCTTGGCGATGTCTCAGAAATTCCACGTATAAAACTTTTTGAATTGATGAACTTCACCAAGACCACAGCACATGAAAGTGTGAGGCAATTTTTGTCACTGTGGTTTCACAATGGGCCTATTTGCTTCGTGAGGCATCCAGGTAGGTATACCTCTTTAACTATGGATTAAAACGGTGTATATTTGGGTTAAATCGGATTATTCTAACTATGGTTTATAAAACTTTCAATTTAGCGCAAAAATATAAGATTAATTTTTACTAGATCTTAAAAAAAACCCTGATATCAGTTGGTATCTAAGTGATGCAGAATCTATCTATAAAATCTGCCTACAATGAACACTGATTTCAGAGGTGAACTTTTCTATAGCACTTTGTTTGCGGTTTCTTGGTAATGTTTCATATATGTATTCCTACAATTTGCAATATATAATATATTGCTATTTAAGGTTTTGGTTTAAACTGATTACGGGGCTGGCTCACTTGCTACTCATAAAGATAAAGTTTTTAATTATTAGATATTAATATTCACATTTTATAAAATTTATTTTTTTTTTTGATTTAACCATACTATTTTTTTCTCAAGCAAGGTTTGTCAGTTTTGTCTTACCAAAATTGTATTTTAGACACTTCCCTTTCGATAAGGTAATAGCAAAAGCAAAAAAGAATAAATTATATATTTATTAACAACAACAATCCGAACTGCAAAAACAAAACCAAATAGAAACTAAACAGATTATTTGAAGAACCCGGGAGCTGTGAGAACTTAAGCTTACCGCATCACGCTAACGTCCTTATCAGTAAAAGAGTATGTTATGCACTGACTACATACCTATATTAAAATCCCTAAAATATTTTTTTATGCAATTAAATTAGATACTAAGCAAATAATCTTATGGAATAACAATTCACTTATTTCGAAATTTACCGTTAAATTACTCTCAATTTTTGACACAAACGCACTGAGCACAACAATAAATAACACAAACATTTGCTTTAAGCGAATTTCAAACAAGTTTCGACACATGATGAGCAACTCAATGACTTTTTATTACTAACAGCTTTCAAACAAAAATTAAAATAATAATAAAAACCAAAAACAAAAATTAAATTTAAAAAACAACACAAATATTTCGATAATTGCTCAAATACTTGCTAAACACGCGTACAGGCCTGACTTTCAAGCACCGCTTAATCCACTAAACTGTCAATTTAGAATCGTATATAGCAAATAGAAGCGAAGAATCTTATCACTCACCCTTGTCTCCACAAAAAAAATGCATTTTCAGCGTGCTGTATGTATATGTGCACACACTCAGTTTTATATGTAAAATAAGTTATGGATGTAGGTATGTTTATATTATGTTATTATTTATGGTACATATTTTTGGAAGAAGCCTTAAGAGTAATGAGTTAAAAAGGTAAAGTAATTAAGCAATATGTAACTAAATACTTTAAATAAAACATATTTTTATGCCCACGCAACATGCTGTAGAGAGAGTATTTTAATCTTGTTCATCAAACGGTAGCATTCAAAAATAATCGCGAAAGATATAGGTATCTATTTTTATATATTATTTTATAAGTTAAATTAAACCAAGAAAGTAATGCAATCGACCAATAATTTCACCTAATAACTCATAATGCTCAAGGTCGTCTTTCTCCCAATAAAATATCAGAGCCATCTCGATCGCATTTCACACACCTTACATTCTCATCATCCGTGCCATTTTGTAATGTTCGGTTCCGGGCTTGTTCGAGTCTTCCTTATTTGTTTCCATTAACATATAATTAATGCTTTTACATATCTAGAATAATTCATTTTACCATTACAATAAACACATCGTAGAACATATTAAGATTGCCTGCTTTGACTATATGATTAATTCATTTAATTTTGTTTAATAAACACTTTGGCTTCACTCAATACTCGCTTTCGCTCTTCTCTTTCTCCGCTCGTTCGACGTCGCTACAAAACGTGGGTACATTTATGTACTTTTACTAATTTAAAAAATAATTAAATTTATGCATTCCTTGCCTACTTCCAAAGTCATTTCCGTATTTCGACCCAATCAGCTTAATTATTATTTTTACATTGTTTTTATTTTAACTACCTTATAAACTTGTTAACCTTTTTTGCTTAATCAGCTGTGCTGGTGACACTTCCAGTACATATTGCTATACAGTGGCGTGCGAGAATATTTGGATTACTTCCAAATTGCCATGTGCATTGCCATAGTCAAATGTATTTTTTTAATTGTATATTTCGTTTTATATAAATTGTATTAATATATTAAGATTATATATTTTTTTTTTTGCATAAACTTTTCTCTGTACAAAATAGCTAATTAAGTATTAACGTTTTCTGGTCAATACAGGATTATATTATAATCTGGTTTAAAATCATAATAAAATATAAGTGCTTTTCATTTCTTGTTTATTATTCTTTTATTCGTTTAATCCTTCGCAATTTATTAGAATAGTTATAGACCTGCATTTTTTTTTCAAAATTTGAACGTCTAC